ATACAAGCTAATCCACAGAGGATCCTTTACAGGCCCCCACCCATGGATATACCTTGGAAACAAGAAGAAGAAACTGTTAGTAGCCCAGGATCAACTGGAGGGTACCAATCTGTTTGGCATACACTTGAACTAGAAGGTGTTCGAGTACCTAGAGTAATTGTCCAACACTTACTTCGAGAAATAGACCCTGAAGGCATCTTGGCACGTAAAGCACGCCGACTCAAGAGAAGAGTTTACAGCAATCCAGGCCGAAACTATGCATGGCACCTTGATGCATATGACAGGTTAAAATCCTGGGGGTTCCCAATGCATGGATGGATTGATAGCTTCAGGAGGCACATACTATGGCTTAAAGTTGTTCGCTCAAATAATTTGCCTGAGATTCCAGGACAGTACTATATAGAAACTGTTGCTGAATTAGGAGGTGTCCTAGTTGAGCTTGTAACAGGTCTGGGTGCTGAAAATGGCTTAGCTGCCTCTATGCAGTGTTTCCTCAGAGAAAATAATGATGCTCATGGGTATGTGCCCTCCCCAAGGAATCAAAGAATTGAAGGATGGTGGAGTTTCTTTGTAAGAATCAGATATTATGGTGGAGAAGTTTTTTTCAACACTTAGAAACCCAAGGTATAGTCAATACCACATCTGAAATCCACACAGAGTGTCTTTGGTACTTTTTTTCTGGTGTACTGGAAACAGAGTGTGATCATGTCAGAGAGCACTGGAACACTCATCGGATAAGGAAATCCCGGGCATGACACTCTGCATGGAAGACTGGATTCATTGTTTTTCTCACCAGAATACCATGGGAGTGCCACAGATTTGCTTTTGGAGGTGCCTGTGATAGAAATAAATGAAGTTTCACAGCAGTGCATCAGGGAAATAGAGACCAATGTCTATGGGGAATACTTTGAATACGTCAGAGCCAGTTTTGGGTCATGAAAACCCACAACTTGGCAAAGTGCATTTGACTTACTTCAAAGACTAATTTTCATAGCCAAAAATGGGTACACTGGGTAGATGCTTTATAGTAATGAAAGCAATGGCTATATATTAATTAAAGTGTTCCAAGTGATTGATCCAGCATTAAGATGTACATTCCAGAATGCCTATTTGTCCAAGAAAGATTGAAACTGGGTATTGACATTACATATCAGATGTCTATTGTCCAGGACTGCCCATATTTTGCATTCCTCATTTTATCTCTCAGTAGGCTTGGCAAGTTTTTTTTGTGAATTGTAAAAAAATAAAACAATGTTTTGAGACAATTAAAAATTTAATTATTGTGGGAAAATGAAACCTTTGATCAAATTCTGTGGTGTTTTCCTTACAGCATAATTTTTATATGGCCAAAAGATTAAACCAAACAATTATGTTGCTCTTGCATGAACAATGTGGGCAGTCCAGAGCAGACAAATTAGGCCCATCCTGCCCAATCATGTAGCCAACCAGAGCACAGGATTTGTTTCATCTTGCCTGCTTGTAGAGCCAATTACATAATAATAAATAGTATTGACCAAGATAGTTTTGTCTTTATGACTGGATATTGGTCGTGGTCTTTTAATTGTGTTTCTATGAACCTTGACTTCATTTCAGTACTTAAAGGTCAAAATCAGTTTAGCAGGTATTCAGCCAGTCTCACTGCACATTTCAAATGCACTTTTAATAAAGTAACTGAGTCATTTCCCAGCAATTTCTAAACATTGACACCAATAGGCAAGTGAATCATGGGTGATCAATGAGTTATCAGTTAATTAATCCTTGAGTATTGCCAATACTCAATGAATAATCATGAAGTAATCAATACCCAGAAGATTTTTGGCCATTGATTAGTCATTGATGTCACTGATAAGTAATGATTTCATTTTTGAATGGGGGTTATTGATCTAGTTTGCACTTGTCGTTACTTTACAGATATACATATCTCTTGTTGAAAATGAAGACAATAGAACCATCTTGTAATCTCAAAGTTGAACAAAATGTGAAAATGAAACAACTTGATAAAATGTGCCGGTATCAATTTACATCTAGAGAACTCAGCCAACACTAACACAGGCCAACAAATTGCCACCAAAAGCTCTTATCACTGATGCATCTTCAAAACAGAACTAAGAATACCATCACGTACTCACTAAAACAGGAACATTATTCTGCAACTAAAGTAATTGCTTGTAAAATGTTTCAATTTCTAATTAAATCAATGAAGTTCAACCTCCTTTAACAAAGGCAAAATGTATGTTGCCTAAAGCTGATAACAATTCTTATTACAATTTGCTTGAACAAGAACATGAAATGGCTTGCCATTAAATCTATTTAGCTTTGGCACACACCGTTACAGTGCAGTTCCGAAGGCACGCGAGCGAAGCCCCGTACCTTAGAAAATTTGGTAACCCATCGATCTGAAAAATTTTGGTTGTCACGTGACTGTCCATACATAAGTACATACGTACGTCCGTCTGTCCGTCCGTACGCCAATAGGGACCTTAAGAAACAAGGACGGGGACGGCCTTTGACAAGCGAGACTAGGCCTGGCCCTGTCGTTCTTGCCAAATACAAAATACTTAAGAATCTGTATTTTCGCATAGGATGGTGATACGGATACTCTCTGTAATGACGTCCTATAGAGATGCCAGAAATCTTCTTTTAGATAGCTATAATGATGACACTATAGACTAAGATGAATTTTGCATACTGTATGAAGAATATTTTTCCAAGAATCCAGAATTTCCATATGAACAGTATGAACTATCTGACATGGACGCGATGGATGATTTAGAATGCAAAGCCAAATTTTGCATTAGGAAAACTGAACTTCCACTGCTTGCGGAAGCACTCGATATTCCCGAAACATTCGTTTTCCATCAAGGCACGACAGCTCCTGGAATTGAAGGTCTCTGTGTGTTTTTAAGACGAGTGGCCTACCCTTGTCGCTATTCCGATTTAATCCATCATTTTGGCCGACCAGTACCAGAACTAAGCATGATTTATAACATCGTTTACAATACACATTTACAATACACAAGGACACAAAATCACACAGTGGAACAACACAATTCTTTATCCTGTGAGCCTTGAGAGAAATGCAGTTGCTATCTCTGACAAAGGTGCAGCACTGGACAACTGCATAGGGTTCATAGATGGAACTGTAAGATCAATATGTCGTCCAGGAGAATTACAAAGAGTTGTTTACAATGGACATAAGCGGGTCCATGCACTCAAATTTCAATCTGTGACTTTGCCTAATGGTATGATTGCTAATATATATGGTCCTGTAGGTAAGATTTATTTCCTGTGGTTCATAACAGTAAATTACACGAACCCAATTAGAATTTGTTAAAAACACAGGTATGCCTTTGTAATCTATTTCAAGGCTTCAATGTTTCTGATCCCTTGGTGGGGTCTGGTCCAAAATATAACCAGGTCTAGACCAAAATGTCAGTAATCCCTGACCCTATAGCCTAAGCCCTGATGGTTAAGAGACTGACCTTCAGGTTAGGTTAAGGTCTAAATTAAGGTAGAGCAAGGGTGTTAAGAAGTGCAACACACACCCCAAATAAAACTTGGTGGAGTACCTATCACGTTTCTGACTAATCTGAATGTTCATTATTTTGGTTACCAATTTTATTCCAGAAGGAAGAAAGCATGAGCTGGGATGATGGCAGATTCTGGCCTGCTCAATGATCTGCAACAGTATGCATTTTCTCCAACTGGTCGAGCCATGTGCCCTTACGGTGACCCTGCCTACCCTCTAAGCGTCCATCTCCAGGCTCCCTTCAGAAGTGTAGTTCTAACCCCTGCCATGCAAGCATTCAACTCCTCCAAGAGTACTCTGCGTGAATCAGTAGAGTGTCTTTTTGGGGACATTGTGAACTATTTTAAATTTATGGATTTCAATAAGAATTTAAAAATTGGTTTCAGTTCTGTAGGGAAAATGTATATTGTCAGTGCACTACTTCGCAATGCCCATACCTGCTTCAAAGGAAATCAAACTTCAGATTTTTTCAATTTGGATCCCCCAGCCCTGCAAGACTATTTTGTTTAATATTTGTTCAAGTGGCTGTAAGGCAGAATGGGCAGATCTTCACGGACCCAAATAAGAACATATTCTTAAATGACATGTATAAAAAGTTTCAGGTGTGTAATTTCAAGGTTGACAAAGTTAAAGTGTATTTTAAAGTGTATCATAAAATATGAATGCTAACTACTGAATTCCAGTAGTCAACTTAGCCAGCAATCAATAACCTCATTTAGGCCCTTTCTGCAAGCAGGCAAGTGCTAGGAGTACCCTAATAAGAGGATCGAAGATAGCCTGAGTGTACAGGTAGAATGAAGTTGGGTTACCCTGCTACCCAGGACAACTCTGTCCTATCACACTTTAGTTAACCTGGTAAATATCTCTAGCAAACAATAATAATTCTATTGCCAAATACTATTGTCACTTGAATTACATAACTGATCAGTTCTTCAAATATTTCAGCGACAGTAGCAACAAACACGACTGGGAATATTTTGTCGCGAAAAGCTGTTGTGAGAAATTTTCTCTACCGAAAGCAAAACTGAAACAGGTTTTGAATTTATAAATCTTTCTTCAGTCACAATTTTATTTATCATATTTCAATTCTTGGAGCACAAATAAAGTTGTCCCAGGTAGAGGACTTCTCACTAGCAGAGGGTTTACAAGCCAGGTACGGTTAATCTGGTGCTACGGTAATGCTAGTGCTCAGCTACGGTTACCCTAGTGCCAGGGTAACCCTACCTGGCTTGTAACCATGTCTTTGCAAAAAGGAAGAAATTTGGGAGTCCTAGCACTAGGGGTACCCTACTTCCTCTTCAGGGCGTTAATTTGTTTCTGTGTAAAATATTAATACAATCAGATCAAAACATGTGAAAACAAAGTTTTGTAAACTCAAATGTTTCCCACTTTATTGCATTGCAATTAAACATTTCTTCTCTACTAACTTAGAAACAAGGACTAACAACAGATCATTTTACTGTTTTGCATGCATACCAATCATGGCCTGAAAGTCCTGCAGCTGCTTTTGTTGTTGTTGCTGCTGATGCAGCATCACATGTGAAAACAAAGTCTTGTAAACTCAACATTGCCAAGTTGTTTACTACATCGCAACAAATCATTTTACTTCTTCTCTACTAACTTATTAACAACGGCTAGCATCAAATCATTTTGGCGTTTGGTTTGCATACCCATCATGACCTGAAAGTCCTACATCTGTTGCTGTTGTTGTTGTTGCTGATGCAGCATCACTTGCATGAAGTTGTCCTGTTTCTTGGACTCAAGCTCCAGCTGCTGTCTCCTAAGATCGAATTCCTCTTTTTGGATTGCCTGAACCTGTTCATTTTTTTCTCTTAGAAAGTTCAGTGTGTCACAGCCACTTGACCTTTTCCTCTTTCTTTTCCCTTCGCTTTCTCCCTTGTCAGCTTGTCTTTTCCGAGTTTGTCCAAGTCTTTCCATAGCCTTCTTCCGAATGTTCTCTGCATTTTCTCTGTCTTGACTGTCCTTCATCTTGTTCTGGTTGTCAACAATTCTTTGTTCTGTCTCAGCTGCATCTTCTTTCTCAATCAGTTCCTCTAGTGTGACTTCCACTTCTGTCATATCAGTTTGAATTCCACTCTCTCGTTCTTCTGTTTTCAATTTGGTTCTCAGCTCCTTTGAAAGGAGGTTATAATGGTCACGGACTGCCCTCTTATCAACTTTGAAGTACACTTCCTGAATTTTGTTTGCGTTTTGGGCGACCTCTTCCCACTTTGTTCTTCTAGCCAGCGTACTCTTTTTGGTGCCAGTAAAAGGATCTACTACCAATATTTCCCGGCATAACATTTCATCATGAAGAGTGCTCCAAACAATTGGCTTCCTGAAAATTTTGATCAATATAAAGCCCTTCAATAAAACCGGGTTCCAAAATGGCGTCCTCGATGAGATGAAGACAGCAAGGCCACGAGTTGGAAGTTCTCGTGTGCATGCCTGGTGGTGCAAATTTATTTCCGGCAACCATCCTCATTCCTCCCGTCCTTGTATCTTAAGGTGCCTAATACCTTGAAAACTAAGAGTAGCACCATTACAATAGCTACATCTTTGATTTTGGGTGTTCATGCTATTGTTAATTGACAGCTGTCACAACAAGCTATCCGCTGACCAGTATCACGTGATCATATTGCAGGCTCAGGTTTATAGCTCATTGAGGTTGCGTGTTTTGTTTTTTAAAGTTGACCGCTGGCCAGTTACTGGTTTACCGATTGGATTGCGGGCTCAAGTCATGTTATTTCTCTGGGGGAGAAGGAAGGAATACTTGCAAAGGCAAAATTTCGGCACAAATTAACCCCTGGCGCGTTGTTGACGTTTCCTCTCACATATTCCTTGTACAATCCTCTCTTGGAAAGACAAGTCCCTGATATATTGTGTAGGTAATTTCTACAATCTTGGTTAGGCTTTTTGGGTATAGTTTGTTAAAATTTAACTGGAAAAAATAGCAAAACCGCACGCTGAACAATTACGTGCTCACAGTTGATCATTTTTTGAGTTTCTGATCCAAGAAAAAATAATTCTCTTTTTCCGTTATTGTCAGTTATTGCAATTAGGAGCTCTGCTTTTAAGCTTGGCTAAATTTATATATTACATAAAGAAACAGAACTTAACTTTTAGCAAAAGCTTGTCCCTTGCAAAAAGCAAGAAGCATGATCCTTTTGAACTGTTCTTCATCTTGCATATAGACCACTGGCATGGTGAGGTTTCTTGCACATACTCCAACAATAGGAAAGCAAATGGTGTGATTTGGTTGTCGTTGCAAGCATTCATGGTCAAACTTGACTGAAATAAGCAATTTGTCTCCATTCATTGACCCGATGTCTTAGGCCAGTCAACCATCCTAACAGACCTGCGGGACTTATGTCAGCAGACTGGAGCTGGACTTGTGAAGGTCCTTCTGGTTTATGCTCCCCACCTTCCCTATCCTCATTGTCTTCATGATCATAGACAAGCTCTTCACTGTATCCAGTTACTGTGATATCTTCAGAGGCTAATATGAAGTCATGAAGGTAGTCAAACACTGTTTCCTCTACTGGTCGTTTGGATGTCCCTTTCTCAGAGAACTGGGGCCATAGGAGAGAAACCACATAATTTGCATCAACTTCATCCTGATTTATGAGGGGAAGTGTTTTACATAAGTCTTTATTATTCTGCATTGCACTTTGGAAACCATAATGGTCCAACCCTCTCTTGAATTCTTTGAGATGCAAGAGCCTCTTGCTTATAATGCTCAGTATCACTGTACTGGTTATAGCCTCAAGGTGGTCGTTACTTATCATCCCTGTATACCCATGCTCCAGTATTGTTTTCTCCATTCCTTTAGGGTCATTTGCAATTCTTGTGAGCAGTTCATTTTCATGTTTGGTACGATGCTGTGCTGCAGTGAGCTGATTTATGTCTACCTCTTGATTGATTAACATGTTGTACACACACTCCTCAAACAGGTAAGAGGGTGGTCCACCCTGAACAATGCTATAACTAATGAAATCTGTGTGCATGTGTGAAAGAACCCTTTATGAGCATATAACATAGAGTCAGTAGGAGAGCCATGTGGAAACATCAGGCTTCTCATCCGGTCAATGACCAATGCTAGAAATCGGTCAGTGTAAAACGCAGACTGCAGACTGCAGACCGGGGGTAAAATGCAGACTAAGGGTAAAATGCAGACTGAGGGTAAAATAAAATATTAATAATAAAAAACAAGTCATAAGGATAAAATAAAGAGTGTTCGTACAAAATGAAGTTGAATTCTGTACACGTCGTGTTTTGGCATCTCTTCTATCAAAATGATCATACTAACGATTATTTGAGAACGCCAAAATGTTATAAATTCTTGTGTTTGGATAGCCGACTGTCACCTTTCAGCGAATACCAATTCACAAACCTCTTGATATATTAAAGTCGAGTACAAAGATTGAATGTATTTCACAAACTAGGCTCGATACCTACAAGTTTAGCTTGCCCTGTTGTTGTGCTGTCGTGTTTTGCTTGCCTTGTGTTCCGAACAATTCCAAGGACATTTGAAGCAGCTAAGACACGTGGTGGTTTGAACGTTATTAAGACTTTGTCGATGAAAACAGAATAAAGGAAATGCGCTGCAAGAGTTGGTCAGTCCCAGACCTAATCGTGTAAACAAAATTCAAAATGGCCGACACGAAACGAAGGTAAGATACATAGAATTACGATTAGTTCGGGCCCTTGTGGAAAACTGGGGGAGTTCAAGAACTCAAGGTTGATAATATAATGTTTGACTAAGGCTGGGAAACGCCTTTTGGTTTGAGTTTTCGGGATTTTGGTAAAAAAAGTTACGGGTACGTGCACGAACACTCCCAAGTCTTCATTTGATCCAGATTTGATCATCTTGTTTTTTTATTATTATTATTTTATTTTGCCCTCAGTCTGCATTTTACCCCTGGTCTGCAGTCTGCAGTCTGTATTTTACCCTCAGTCTGCATTTTACCCCCGGTCTGCAGTCTGCGTTTTACATTGACTGTGCTAGAAATTCCTTTGACATGGCACCGGTGTCTATACCGTCCTCACCTGCAAAATGCACTGGTAATAGATTTTCTGGGGCATTTATATTTGCCTCTCTTTGCCAAATTGCCAGGCACCATTGTAGACTGGATCTCCTTCTCACAACAATGAAGAACTGAACATTGCTATTGACTCTTTCTTTCAAGCAAGATATGAGACCCGAGCAGCTGTCAAATTTCTCCACTATTTCCTGGCTTGCCAACTTGCGAATAATGGAGTCCTACTTATTGTTTACTCCAGAAGAGGACTGGTCATAAGGGGCAGGATCTTTGCTGTTGTCTAGTTCAGACTGGAGCTGCCTGGCAAGCATTTTCATCACTCTCAACTTGGGTGAATCTCAATTTCTTCTCCGATGGACTATGTTCATCCTCTGAATGCAGGCTTTCTTCCGCAATCAGTATCAGGATTTTCACTTGCATTCACATCTTCGTTTGTACATAGGTACAGCACAATGCTCTTATAATCATTTCCAATCTCTTCTTTGTATCTTTTCAGGCTGAAGAACTCTGTTGTTCCAGGTAGAAACTGGGCATCCTTGCCATTCTCATACAATAATCGGTATTCTTCTCCCTCTTTGTAACAGTTTCTATGATAGGCTTTAAACTTTGCCCCTGGCTGGATACAGATATCAGTATAGGTGCTCTATTAGATGTTTGAAGCATAACTCTTTTCTCTCTAACTGGCTTTAGCTTTGACTCTTTTTCAGTAAATTCCATTAGGCCAATTGCTACTGCCACTTCTTTTTCTTTGTCTTTCGCTGTTGTCCTAGATACATGCTCTTTCCACTGATGTCCTTTCCATTCACGATAAGCAGAGAATGACTTGATGGCCTTACCACTGACACATGCACTTGAAGAGAGGGCAATTGCATTTGAAAAGTGGACTGCAGCACTTGAAAATGAACTTGCAGCACTTGACGATGGCACTGAAAATATATAAAGAAAAATTACATTCTTCACGACTGTTATCCTGCCCAAGAGGGAGGTCTGACTTAGCATTAAAAGCATGTTTAAAATTCACAGTTAGGGAAGCAGAGGTTTTGACACTCATTTCATTTCTGTTGCTGATTGATTCAACGATAATTGTCACTTATTTTTTACATGTAGCTGCACTATTGTACTGCTTGCTTGTGCATTAGGCATGGTTATTAGTGTTAGATGAATTAACTGATAAGAATAGCCTTTTTTCTTCAGTCTGTGCTTGCAAGGGCAATGGGTTGATGATAATTTTTCCAGTGATTAGTGTTATATCCAGTAAGATTTCACTCAATCTTGCTGCCATACATAGTCTTGAGGTATGGAGGATTTAAGGAAGAGAGGTGAGATGTTTTGCACAAGGTTTTTTAAAGTATCCATATGGCCTGAGGAGCCCCCACAGTTTTGGTGTCCACAGCCACCTTTGCTAGCTTAGAAAAATGATACTTCAGACACACCAATAGAAGTGGGCTGGGTGTTTAGGCTTGGAGTCTGATGACATCATATCGGGAAGGCCCACAAACAAAACGTCTTCTATCTATGTGACCAGTCCTGAGGTGCTGTGTGTTTTACTTTCTATGCATTGGGGCCATAGTTCAAATTAAGTCCATGTGGGAATTATATTACGTACTTAACAAAGTACCATAATGTCAAATTTAAAAGATTGGTTTGTAATCCTTGATTACTGAGCAGTAGGAAATCATGCATAATTCTCATGCACATTCCTGGATGTCTTGAGTGGTAGTAAGAACAAAAAAAGGAATATTGTATATCACGTTATTTATGTGTTGATGTATTTAGCACAAATGTGCTATCATTGTGGGCACTAAATAAATAGACAAATTTCTCACCTGTGCAAGAAGGTGGACTTTGACCAGCATTTCCAGTTGAAGAAAGTTCTAGAAAAAAATTTTAAATTTGTAAGTTATTTATTGTTGTGACTTCTTTTAGTATAATTTCTATTAAGTATTACTTATTTTTTTAAACTCATATCTTTTTTGTTGTTTTGATTGATTTATCTTTACTCTTTACTGATTCACTCATTTTAATCAATCAATCAGTCAGTCAATCAATCAATCAACAATAACTCATTCACCTGCTCACTAAATAATTGTTACAGCAGAACCTTCACACATTTCGTGTTATTAATCCTCTTCCAACTTTCAAATCACTTTCATATTTAAGACCTGAGTGTGACAAAATGGAGTTTGTGACATTAACGGTTTAAGATAACTCATCCGAACCTTCGTCTGAAAGCTAACCACCTAAGCTGAACATGCTAAGCCTGCTAAGCTACAAGAACAAGTTACTCAAGTGTGCAGTCTGCAAATGTTACACAGTGTAAAATGCATCTTCCTCACGAATGCATGCTAGAGTACATTAGACTTGCTCAATTCTGGCCCACTTTAAGTACTTCTGTCAGAAAACTATGTGTATAGCACGGCTTCAACATTGATTAAATAGAATGACTTAGCCTGACAAGCTTGTAAACATTAACAAACAGGTGAAATACTCCATCTCCCGAGCCTAAGTTAGACTGCTTTATTTCAGTAAAAAAGTAAAAGAAAATATAGTAGCTTTTAAATACCTTGCCTTTTCCACAGTTTGAACAGTAGTTCATGCCATCGGTAACTTGCTTCCCACAGTTGCAGCACAACATCTTCCTGGCGACCTCTTTCAAATGTCCAAGATGGTGGAGATGGCAGGAAGTGATGAGCAGCCGCTGACCCCTTTACTGCATTTTCTTATCCCATGGTGCACCTCGACAGCTCGCCCCAGCCCCCACACTTTCTTTGATTCCGTGAGGACATTTTAATTCTTATTTCTTTTGCCGTGAGGTCGAGTTATTCTTTTTGCCATTTGGTTATTGTTTTTGCCGTGAGGTTATTCTTTTTGTCGCGAGTCTTTTTCTTTTGCCGTGAGGTTATTCTTTTTGCCTTGAGGTTATTCTTTTTGCTGTGAGGTTATTTACCATGGTTCTCAGTATTTTCAGTGCAAACTACATCCATAGCACCGATAATATAAATCGCCAACACACACAAGTCAACTCCATAAAAACAACATCCAACAATGACACAAAATGGCGAACGACAGCTCTTTTGAGTTTAGAAAACCATGTGCTTTGACATTCAACTATTTTCGGAATTGAACAGTTTCCGAATGAAAGAATCTATATTACCAGTACTCAAAAGTGCTCTTATAGATATAGTTATTAATCACGTGACCCAATTTTCCAAAAGATGAGTCCCTTGGTGATAAATTTGGGAAATCTATCCAAAGCAAGCTCAAAATGCCAGGAATTCCGCAAAATTTGGATTTTAGGTCTTTTTATTAACCCATTGACTCCTGTGCCGGCCGTAACCGGCCATTGTAACTACTTCCTGTAAAGTTGAGAAATATTTTCCCATTTGATTGACGTTACCGTGATTGATGGATTAAATGCTTAACGAAAATAGCCCACATTCAGTTCAAGTTAAGACCCCTTCTGTTCAAGATCGCAAAACAAGTTAGAACGAAATTCTCATAGGAAAATCAAGACCCGCGAACGTTGGTAAGCTACAATTCACTGATGTTGATATTTACATTGTTATGTAAATTTGTGATTCTAGTGAGAGCTATACGTAGATTTCAACCGCTCTCAAGGCTCTCTATTAGCATGAGCACATGGCATAATCATTGTGATTACTTTCTACATTGCAAGTTAGAAACGCAACGATATTTAGTGATTTCTTGATGTAATTATTTCAGTTGACCACTTTGGTTCGATTCGTATGAAAACGCCCTGAGGCCACAAGATTAGGATTAAAGATGATAAAGTAAAGATTGTTCTCCTATACTGGCTTAGTGTTCTAAGGAGTTTCGACTGTGCATGCAAACAACCTGGGAGAACGAGATTTCGATTCTGACTTAAGAAACTGTTACAGCCGTGACGAGCCTTGACCAAAACTGGCATCATCTATGCTGAACTTCTGCAGGAGGAAAAGATCTTTCCAATGATACCCAGATCAGAGTGATCAGCCCAATAGAGCCTGAGATATGCACAAAAATGCTCAAAAAGTTGAGTGAAAAACTCAGAGCAAATTTCCTGCCCCTACATGTGGCTACTCCATGGCAAAAATTCCCTGTCTTGATGATGCTTTCTCAGAATGTTTTAAGCTGGAAGCAAGCCCAGTAGAAGGTCAATCACTGCAACAAAAAGAAAAGGAGAGAAAGGAAAGGCAAAAAAAATTAAAAAGATCGAAAAGCCTAAAGCCTGAGCGAAAATGTCATAAAACGCGATGCTAGTGGAAAGAAAGGCATGTTGTCAAGTTGCAAATGCCTTTTTGAGTAGATCGGAGCTAACTTGGCCTATATGCAGCGTGAAAATCTCCAAAATGTCCAAAAATGCTTTTTTGGCAAAAAGCTCCAGGAGTCAGTGAGTTAAAGAAAAAAAACAATACAACATTGGGCTTACCTTAGCTTTTGTTTCCTTTCATTCTTCCTCTGGGTGACAATAAAACATTTTTAACGATTTCATTGATTCGTCCACGGACCACGGTCGATAAACATTGTAGCTTTTAAGATTTTGATGCAAGTATCATCGCTTTTACAATTTCCATGTCGATATGTTGCAGTTAGTGTTCCTTAGCGTAATAACATCCCTTTTTTCAACCAATGAACGAATTCCTGTTTGCTGATCAAACGAAAAACCATCTTTGGCCTCTCTGCCGTGTTGTAGCTTCTTAAATGTCCACATTTTTTCAAGATAATTCAGTAAGTACCATTGATATTTTGAGAACAACAGGTTATCCACATACATGTACTTGTAAGCTCTAGGGAAGCCATTTCCATCCACTCATGTTTATCCTAACATCCTTGAGGGCAAACTATGAATAACAATGTATATTTTAGAAAATAGCCAGAAGAAAATACCTGCCCTAAATGGTTAAAAGTTATTTCTGTAACTGAATAGCTTACAGCATGAAATCACAAATTTACATGACATTACGAGATACGTTAAGTTCCGTAAAGCTGAACTGACTGCTTTACGGAGAGTTAATAAAGTGACGTAAAGCTGCGTAAAGTTGTCAATGCCGTAAAGCTCTATAAAGGTAGTTTAAAGTGACCGTAAAGGTCAAACTTTATGCGACGGGATATAAATTGCTGTAAAGGAACCTGAAAGGACATGTAATGATTCAAGTGCCTTTTGACCACTAGGCTTGCCACAAGTCAACTTCTATAAAATTAACAACAAAGTTATGTTAAATGAGCGCGACAAAGTCACGAGGAGTGACAAACCGGCAAAACACCACGGAAATGGACTTTGAAGAAGTCTATTCGATAACCTGTAACGCTTTTAACAAGGGGAAAAAATGTCTTTCAAAAACTGAAAGGCACATTCAAGTTATTGGTCAGAATTTTTTCAAAACCTGACCAGTTTTAATTTTGTGTTAGTAAGAGGAATAAAGCTCGTTTTGGAGAAGTTTTGGTGTATTTAGTGGAGAAAGTCCCGAGACCTTCAGACAAAGATCGTTTCTCTGTGGGATGAGTTTAACCTTGGAGCCTGCAGAGGAAGGAAACTCCTAAAGGTATGCTCTTACTGTAACGGCCCAGTAGCTTCCTCAGTCGATTAAACCAAGTGAAAGGCTGACTGGACAGCTGAAAAGGGTAAATTTAATGCCCAATATTTCGGTTAGACAAGACTAACCTTCTTCAGGAGCTACACGTTTGAACAAGAAATCACAAAACATATTATGAAGGCGAAAATACCTTAATTGGATTTTTTCTGCGAGTTTACTTTTGAAATGAAATCGACTTTAAATGTGTATCGAAACGACTCAAGACAAAATAAGGAACGACTTACAGCAGCATTCTGAGTGCCCGACCTTCAACAAGTATGGCTCAAGGGTCTTCCACATTAGATACCAGGTTCTCTTGGTTCTCACGCCATTTTTTTGGCGTCCTGTTTGAAAGGTGTGAAATGCCGAAGCTTGCATCAATCTCTTGGTCCTTTTTAAACTCGTGGATATGCGAGGTGTAGAAACGTGTTTGCTGCAGGGACTCCGATATAATATCACTCACTCACTCATTCACTCACTCAGGTGTAGACACTTCGTAATTTGTTGGCCCGAATGAGAGCGCCTGAGCCCGACGCCATGTTGGAATAGTAACCGAGCCCGACGCCACATTGGAATAGTAACCGTGCAGTCAGTGCTAGCCTTGCTATCGTGTTTGTGCGGTTACTACTCATCAAGCCAGCCTGAATGGTGATTTTGTAGCTTTTACACGACCAATAATATTAGGTCTTTTGCTAAATTGAAGTGGAGTTGACTTCGAATGTTCAAATTAGTACTATGGCCAACTTGAAGGCTGAATTTCATTAGCATTTGACTTGTCAGGGGTTAAAAATAACCAGGAGATGTACACTTGTTTGCTGGAAAGTGACCTGAAAATAAGTAAATCTCATGCTAATGTGGTAAGCTTTGATGAGAATGTGTCTTATATGAGCGAAACGAACAATTTTTTATGAAAAAAAGAGCTATTGAAAACAGGACAAACATCGGCACCATCATATAATTTTCAAGTTTGGCTGATTAGATCTCCTGTGAGATCCAACGTTCAATCAATCAGGACCTTCGTTCACAGTGTTGCAGTTTATAGCACTTAAGGTTTCCATGTTGAGTTGTCCATGTTCAACCGACATCGATTTAAGTTTAGATTAATATTGCGTTCTCTATACTTGTCTTGTTTATTTTAGTACATTGATCTGAACTCAGAGTGGATGAGAAATGCACATAAACTTGGGAAAAAAAATTCTCAAATACTTGATTTTGATAAGCTTAAATGATTTTAACCCTGTCTTTTGTTTACACTTTTGCTTCCTGATTGAAAAGATCACAAAGGGAAAGAAACCTCCTGTGAGCTTTTTGGAACACATATTTATGGGTCGACAATTTTTTTGGACCAACACTGAGAATGCTTGCAAAAGAGGCTACTTATTTTGATGTATTACATGCAATATACACAGAGACAAGCGGTCGCACATTGGAAAAGAAGTGCTATCACATGAGAAACCTTACCTATAGCCTTCAGTGAAATGCAATGAAGAAGGTCCGTAAGCTCGTACGACTTGAATACATGCAAATTTTCCCAGCAGGCAGACTAAGAGTACTCTATGATTTTTTTGGTAGGAGTGTCCTCTGTGACCCAAGAACCCTTATAAACCTTTACCACTCCATGTTCAGCTGCCCCCCTAGCTGTTCTGGACGTATGTGTTTGTAGTACGTGTATGTGTGTAACAAAAGCCAACGAAAAAAGCCTACGTTTGTGAGATAAGTGCGACCTTGCGTGGTACGAACCCGGCTTGTTTTAACAGCCTTCAATAATACACCAATAATTGCAAGTTCACCAACATGTTTCATATCTAGATTACTTAATCCACGAGTTTGGCCATAGGTCTCGTTTGATTCACTGTTTAAAAACTCTACTTTAAACAGGCCAAAATTCAGTTTACCTTCCCTTCTTCTCTGTGCACGATTTCAAGCAGTTTTTGGAGGCATACAGCTGGTGAAAACATCGATACATATGTGGGTACAAGTCAACAACAACAGGTAAGCCACTGGTTTTCTTGAAGTTTAAAGTGTATTTAACTTTCCAGGGTAAAGTTCAGTTGTAAAGTTT